GGGAGGGGGGGGGGGGATGTAAGAGGCACTTCAAGTAAAAATGAGATCATCTTTTTCATCAGGACAGTATGAACATACTCGCTCTCTAACTTCAGTTTATCTCTTGCACTCTGACCTCTTGAAATCTCATAATCTGCCTGCGATGAAATAGTACAGTATGAGAAACAGCAGTTAAATCTAACATGGCCAGATTCTTTCATGAACATGATGTTATGTTAGTTTGGGATCAAAATTATATTCATGCATCAGATATCATTCAAAATAACCTGCTTTCAGGAGAAAATAACTGCCAGAAGAAGCGTCCATTTAAGCAGGAACCAAACGACTATTTCTCCTCATTCGGTTTTTCATACTTCATTATCACATCTTTCCTTTAATCTCAGAAACCGCAAATTCAGTATTTTGCATATGTAGATGAACCAAAATACAGTTCCTCCTGAAAAGACTGACCTACTTTGACTAGCACAAAAAGTAGAAAAAGAAAATTTGGTCAAAGAGGAAAAAAGAAACTTCTGTCCCTTTTATATATTGTCTCCGGTTTCCTTCTCTTTATTTGCTACACTACAACTCAAGGGATATACATTTGCAAGGGGCATGGCACATGAAAGTAAAGAAAGATCTAACAAGTTCAAGGTCAAATCAGCCAAACTGGATCAAAGTGCAAGTCTTCTCTTGCATAAGAAATAACATTACAATTACACACAGAAAACTTTAGAACTGTGGAGAGTATTAAAGTCTTAAGGGGGAATGGACTAGCACCTTTTAATGCAATAAGTTGAATGTGGAAACCATGTAACAATATTGATGAACAAAAGAAAAAGAAAATCAAGTCAAAAACTCCTATCATGTCATACCTGTTGTTTTGCTTGATCAAAGGCTTCCATCCATTTTCGGACCTCACCGGGCGAAGCACAAGCAATCTTACAGCAGTAAATTTTCAATCAAGTATTAGCCTCCTCAATATAAAATAACCTATGAAACTCGCTAACTCCATCAATGAGGAAATTAATAATTGACAGGGAATAGCATAGAAGAGTTGACGGAAAAGTTCTGAATTTGAGGATGAGACGGATTCTTACACCTAGTTGATGACAACATGAACCAGAGAGCATGTCAATATATGTGTACTTTTCTGTGGGTGGTTGACAAATTTGTTACTTTGTTATGTATTAACAGAACACAAGGAAAATGTTAGAAAAAAGAAGATAAAAGCACAATCATTGTTTCACTCCCTCCTGATGATAATGAACACGAGTGAAAATACTATCTTCAACTACATCTACAATCAATCGTTGAGGCCTGAAATATTCAGCATATGTAGACAAGCAAAATTTAGAACGACTCTATGCATATGTAGACAAGCAAAATTTAGAACGACTCTATCTCTTTAAGTAGTAAGAATTTTTTATTAACAAAAGAAAGATAAGCAGCATCAGCTTTATTAATGATATATAATGCATAAGAATGTCCCACTTACTTCTCCCCTTTTTGACTCATCCAACCGATTTTGAAACCTCAACACATAGAGATCCTAGAAAAGCACGAAAGAAAAATAAAATATCATTGGATATCTGCAAAGAAAATTTATCTGGCAGTACATGATAAACCAATTAAAAGAAGGGCCAAATTATGCTGAAGAGTCAGAGAAATCGATGTCAACGTTCTGAGCCTCACCCCATGGTTAACTCTTCGACGGCCTAACTCCTCCACCATAAGCGTGTGACTTATAACACCCCTCCTTATTGGTTTCTGCAACAAGGATATAATAACATGAGTCACAGCATCGACTTTTGTGTAGCAAATACATCTGTCCCTAAAACACTCCTTTACTGGTGTTGTGATTAAACACTAAAAATAATTGTATTTTATGAAGCAATTGTTCGCTACACGGAAGGCAGATCCAGGATTTAAATTTTATGGGTTCAATATTTAAGGTCTTAGCATTGAACTACAAAATAGACTTTAGGTACATTGCATGAAAGTAACCCAAACTATGACAATGAGGAATATGAGTAGCTTTCGTGAAGCAACAACAATCTACTCATCTTCCTTTCACTTTCAGTTACATTATGTAGCGGCAAGCCCACATCAACTGCACTTTTTACCGAAGAGTAACATTAATGTATAGCACCTCAAGAAGGTGTTCCAAATGGCACCTCTTCAGATAATGCTCGTAGATTGCCTTTTCAATCGTTTCAGATAAATACATTGTATTTATTCAAACTTCATATAATAACACCATTTTTTGTGAAAATCTACTTGAAGCGTGCAATCAATTGCCTAATGTGACAAAATGAACTTTTTCTTTCTTTTTCATTTGAACATTGGATCTGGACTAATTTTTTGATTTTCAAGTTATATTCAAGCTACAAGATATCTTCAATGCAAGGGAAACCGTTTGGTTCAGTTGAGCCACTACTTGAATATATCAGATTCCTCTTTAATCCGAAATTGGCTCAATCAAAATATGAATAATTCCATGTCCGAAAAGATATGACGAACACATGCTACCACCAAAAATATTTGCAACAACAACTATGTCTCAATTCTAAGCTAGTTGGGATTGGATATGTGAATCATCACTTTCCATGTCGCTCCGTTAGACCAATCTCGATAAGTAAATACTAACATATTTTAAAATTTGGATACTCTTAACACTAGAAGTTCCTTTTATTTTCTGCAACCATGTATAAACATGACTAAAAAGACTCCTAGTGAATATAGGACCTAAAATAACCATCCAACATGATTAAGCCTTAACCCCACTAATTGGTATCGCCTATTTGATCTTTTTCTTCCATGTGCTCTATTCTTCACTAAGTCTGCATGGATTCCAAAAGATTGGAGGTCTTTCAAGATAACTCTCTTTCATGCGATTCTATGTCTACCTAGTCCCTCTTCAACACCTTCAATCACTACGGTTTCAATATTCATACCTACGGACCGATACATGTGAAGATCGACGTAGAACCTATGTCAAGTGACCTTCTCTTATTTTATTCTTTATGTGTGCTACTGGCAATCGGAAACGGCCTCTCTATTCCTCCGGAATAGGGGTAAGGTCTACGTACTCACTACCCTCTCCAGACCCCACTTGTGGGATTTCATTGGGCTGTTGTTGTTGTTGTTGTATGTGTACCACTTGCACCTTCCGCAAAATGTAATCATTTCAAATGAAATCGCATCCAAAGAAATCTATTTTTGAGATACCACAGGCATTAACACTGTCTTCACATTAATTTGTCTATCTGCTAACTCGTGAAGGTACACTTTGATTCCTTGTGCTCCTTAATATAAAGATGACAACTTTGATCATCCATATGAATCTTTGTTAAATTAAAATAGATTCTAAGAAGTCGTTTGGTAGGGAAATAAGTTATCCCAGGATTAATTATCCCGGGATTGTTATTTCACCCTTCCATAGGGATAGAAATAACACTATAATCTCGGGATAACTAATATCGGGATTAGTTATACCGCGATTTTATCCCAACAAAACGTGGATAAACTCATCTCAAATTTAATTCCGAGATTAATTATCCCTTATCCATCGTACCAAATGAACCCTAAGCACTTATCAAGCATTACCACATACACTAAATTTTCTACAACCATTTCAAGCAAACCCAACTCAAGAAACACTTAGAGATTCCGCCTAATCCAAAAGGGACTCATCTCACAACTCAAAAACTTCCCTCTATAGCCATTCATTAATCATCATTTAAGTCATACCCTATTGTTCTAATTTTAATCCACCTAACATGATACAAACTACAACCTACTCAGAGGCGGACATATATTATCAAGTGAGGGGTCATAGGCACCCTGAAAGTTCGCAAAATTTTCATGAATACATGTATATGTTTTTAGAAAATACTGATATATTAGTAATGAAAGCCTGTATACAAAGCATATTTTGGTTGAAAGCAAAAGTGCACCCTCGACCTTCAAATCTTGGGTCCGCCTCTGATTAACTGCTCCTATCCACCTAGCTGTAAGAGTGCAGCTCGTGGTGTGTGGAGTTAGATGCACATCACGGATTCAAACCCCCCTGCCCCTTGGTTGGATAAAGGGGCAGGCCCATTACCCAACCAAGTTTTGAATCGTGCACCACTGGCCCTCGAAAATTTCTGGATTATCAACAAACTTAAGTGCCAGGAACAAGAAACTAATAAAGTAACAAAAGCAACATATATTTGATACTTACAGTGCCAGGATTTTCATGGGGGTCTCTGTTGTACATTTCCATGTACTTGCCACGGATATACAAGAACCTAAGGTGACAATATTCATGTCCAATTGAATTAACACCCAAATGATAAACCCACCCAAAATATTCAAAACTATCATTATTTCCACCTTTTTCATCAGCTCCACTCTCAGAACCACCACTCTCCGATGATTCACTCTTCACCTTCGGGAAAATTTGTGAAGCCATTTTTCAAGAATTATGTATAACAACCACAAAAGGAGGAAAAAATTGATCTTGAAATCATTCAATCAAAACAGAAAAGAAACTGGGATTCTTTGCTTTGAGAATCAGAATGTAGAAATAGGATTTGTGGGGGACGGAGAATTTGTATTGATTGTATGGTACTGGAATTGACGTGAAACAAAAAAGAAGTCAAGGTAAGAGAAAATGGTTTGAGTTGTAAAGACCAAATTAGGAAAAGTACTCCCTTTTTCAAGAAATGATCACAGCTTGTTTGGATAGTTGTTATATATGGTTTTTTAACATGTCATATAATACACTATTGGTTCACTATTGGGCTAAAAATGCCCCTAAACTATTGGAAAAATTTTAAAAATACCCTTCATCTATTTATTAGGCTAAAAATACCCCAACATCCACCTTTTTGGTTCACTTATGTACTTTGACCGTTAGGTCAATGCTGAATTAAAAATAATTATTATTTAAACTCCACATGGCAACTTCTTATTGGTCGAATTAAAACATCTAACCTATTAGAAAGACTAACCCGTATCTAACCATTATTCGGACTAACCCACCCCAAACATTGACCCGACCAGAATAAACAGTTTAACTAAAAAAAAACGCGCCACTTTTTGAAAAACAAAAATATTTTGTTAAAAAAACGAATATATTTTTTCAGTTTTTACAAAAAAAAAAATCAGTTTTTACAAATTTGTTTTTCCAGTTTTAAAAAAAAACTGAAAAAAATGAGAAATATATTTTTCAAAAACGAAAATATTATTTCAGTTTAAAAATGAAATCTTTTTGTTAAAAACAAATCAGTTTTTACAAAAAATTTCTAGTTTTTACAAAAAAAATGCTATAAAAAATGAAAAAAATATGTTTTTGTAAAAGCTGAATTGTTTTTTGTAAAAAACTGTAAAAAATAAAAGAAGACTTTACTAAATTAGTGGACTACTGGTGCATTAGTTTTTATAAAAACAAAAATATTTTACAATTTTTTTTTTAGTTTTACAAAATGAATAATAATTATTTTTAATTCAGCATTGACCTAACGGTCAAAGGGCATAAGTGAACCAAAAAAGTGGATGGAGGGGTAGTTTTAGCCCAATAAGTGGATGAAGGGTATTTTTAAACCTTTTCCAATAGTTTAAGGGTATTTTTTAACCCTTTTCCGTTTAATATTTGAATAGATTATATTATTCGCTATTTTTTCGTGATATCATGCACCAACAATATGAAGAATAAACTTACAATATTATACAATAAATAGTAAGGCAATGGATATTATTTAATACTACTATAAAATAAAGGGTAAGATAAGAGAAAAAAAATAAGGAAACGATGCGACCACACTAAATCGGTTGTTCCATAAAGTGACACTTTTAATCGTTACGTAACGACGTATTTAAAAATATGATACAATAAAATTTAAAAATTAAAATAAATATTATATTTAAGATAATAATAAAATACAATACAACACGTAACGACCATCCAAACAAGTGCGATTCGCGTAATTTGAGATATAAAATAGTGTTATTTCAAAAGTAGTTAAGTAAAATATAATATCCAGCTTTACACATGACAATTGAAAATGCTGACTCATAATATAAACTAGACATGTTCCTTTCTTGATTTCTTCTTTTTTTTTTTCTTGTTTTTTCGGTTGGGTGACTAACTACTTTGGAATATAGTATTTTAAACAAATTGAGGGATTTTGTCGGCAAGATGAGTGGGGACAGCTCAATATTAGGGGCAAAAAAGGAACAAATTGGAACTTATATATATATATATATATATATATATATATATATATGTCACGACCCGTATTTTCCCACCATCGGGGGTCGTGATGGCGCCTACTATCGGAGCTAGGCAAGCCAAGTAGTTAAACATTTTCTGATAACATCCCAACAAGAACAATATAAATATAACGAGTCATTTAAATTAAAGCGGAAGTCTTTAAAACATAGATAACTGAAAACCCAAAAATGCGGAAGTTTAACATTTCTCTACCCAAGACTAGTGTCGCTATCTCACGAACTACTAAAGAGTGCTACAAACAAGTTTGAATAGAAATACATGAGTGTCTGTTTCAGTACAATGAAAACAAACTAATAACATAGAAAGGGACTCCGGCCTGCGAACGCCAGCTAGGCTACCTCGTAAGTCCCTGGACTGAAGTCAGCTCCCGATCAATATCCTACTGTTGTGGTCCAAAAGTTGCTCCGGTACCGTGATTTGTGCAAAAGAGCACAGAAGTGTAGCATCAGCACAACCGACCCCATGTGCTGGTAAGTGCCTGGCCTAACCCCGGCGAAGTAGTGACGAGGCTAGACAGGACTACCAAACCAACCTGTGCAGTTCAATATATATATGCAATAAAAGTAAAGAACAAAGAAATTAAGCAGTTAAGAGGGAGGGGAGCATACTATGGGGGAATACAGTACGGATATAAAGTCAACAATTTAAGTAAGAAACAGGGCAATAACAATAATTAATGAGAGCAGGAAAATCAATAGTTGCACGGCATCAACCTTCGTGCTTTTACTCTCATTCTCACCAAAAGCAATCAAATAAAGTGCACGGCATCACCCTTCGTGCTTCCCTCACATAACTCTCATATCATGGCACGGAATGATCCTTCGTGCAATTATAATCAAATCAGAGCACGGGATGTCCCTTCGTGGATAAATAATCAAAACATGGCACGGAATGACCCTTCGTGCAAATATAATCAAAACATGGCACGGAATGACCCTTCGTGCAAATATAATCAAAGCATGGCACGGAATGACCCTTCGTGCATTATCACTCTTCCTCACCCAAATAGTAATCACAACCAAACGGGGCAAGGGGATAAACAAATAATAAGAAATGTCCCGGCAAGGAAATTACACAATTAACAGCTAAATCCCGGCAAGGGAGCAACAACAATACTTTCACGTCCTGGCAAGGGAGATAATCAACATACTCAAACCATCCCGGCAAGGGATTAATCATATCATTTTCTATTTCTTTCATTTCTTACTCAATAGTCCTTTTATCGTTCGAGCCAACGCTCCAAAGAATTTACAATTCATAATTAGTCCTTATACTCTTCACATTGCATAGAATTCATCAATTAACATGGAAGAGTCATAACAATATCAGGATAAGTACATACAAGGACCCACGGTCATGCTAGACACCGGTGTATAGATACTTGTCACCATGCCTATACACCGTACTCGATCATTTAGCAATTAGCAAATAATAACACTCTAATCCTATTCCTTCAAGCCAAAGTTAGATCAAACACTTACCTCGGTCCAAAGAATAGCAATCAATCCTCAAATACCGCCTTTCCTCTACAATCCGACTCCGAAACAATAATATCTAGGCATAATTAATTCAATAATATCAATAAAGACTCAATGGCAACATCCCATAGCCTAGATATGAATTTCCTAGCATTCTTCCAAAAATACCAAAATTCAACCCTGGGTCCACATGGTCCAAACACGAGGCTCGGACCAAAACCCAATCACCCATAACCCCACGAGTTCAAATATATAATTTGTTTAAGATTCGACCTCAAATTGAGGTTGAATCACCCAAAATTCTCAAAAACCTAACTCTACCCAAAACCCTTAATTTCTACTTTGATTTCATGATTTAGGTCTAGGATTTCAGTAATTAATGAAGAAGAGTGAAGGAATTAGGTGGGAAATTATTTTCCCAAAGACTTTGGTAAAGAAGAGCTTCAAAAATCGCCCCTAGAGCTTGGAGAAGACAAGTTTTAAGAAGAAATGGGAATAATCCCGTAAAGGGTTTGTTTTGAGCTTTTAAAATTAACTGGGCAAAAATGCCCTATGCGATCGCGGAGAAGGTATTGCGATCGCATAGGGTAAAGGGAAATAAATCATCGCGATCGCATAAGTCATTCTGCGAACGCATAGAGGAAAAACATAGGCAGTCCAGGTTTGGACTTTAACGAAGTGCGAACGCGGAGTATCAATTGCGTTCGCATTGAAGGAGCTGGCAAACCTATGCGATCGCGGAAGAGTTTATGCGATCGCATAGAACAAATGTGGTCACATGGAAGGCTACACTATGCGATCACGAAGCAGCCTACGCGATCGCATAGAACTAAATACCAGAACACCAGAACTGAGTTTTGTGCAATTTTTACTAAACTGAGTTTTGTGCAATTTTTACTAAGTTCAAAACACCCCGAACCACCTCCGAATCACTCCCGAGCCCTCGGGGCTCCTTACCAAACACACACGCTAACCCAAGAACATCCTACGAACTTAACCGAGCGATCAAATCGCTAAAATAACATCATAAACGAGGAATCAAACCTCAAAATCATCATTTTTCATTCTAACTTCATAAACTTCAAACTTTAGATATTTAGGTCCGAAATACGTCAAATGACGTCCGATTTCGACCAAACTTTACAGAAAGTGCATAACACATATTTAAGACTTGTTCCGTGCGTCGGAACCAAAACACGAGCCCGATACCATAGTCTTTTAATCAATTTTTATTTCCATTTTCCTTAATAATTCCAGAAAAACAATTTCACAGAAAAATTCTTTTCCTCGGGTTCTAGACCTCGGATTTCGACTCCGGGCACATGCCCGAGTCCTATATTTTTCTACGGACCCTCCGGGACCATCAAATCACGGGTCCGGGTTTGTTTACCAAAAATATTGACCAAGGTCAACTTTAATTATTTTAAAGCCACATTTTGAAATTTTTCACAGAATTTAACATATAAGCTTTCCGGCTACGCGCCCGGACTGCACACGCAAATCGAGGCAAGTAAAAATAAGGTTTTTAAGGCCTCGGAAGCACGGAATGAATGAGGAAACAGGTGATGACCCTTTGGGTCGTCACATCCTCCACCTCTAAAACAATCGTTCGTCCTCGAACGGACAAAAGAAAGAAGTACTTGAGTCGGGAAATAGATGACTATAGCGGCTCCGCATATCAGACTTGGACTCCCAGGTCGATGCCTCAGGAGGCTGACCTCTCCACTGGACACGTACTGAAGGAAAACTCTTCGACCTCAACTGTCGAACCTGCCAGTCTAAAGTAGCTACCGGCTCCTCCTCGTAAGACAGATCTTCGTCCAACTGGACAGTGCTGAAATCTAACACGTGGGCTGGATCGCCGTGATACCTCCGAAGCATGGACACATGAAACACTGGATGCACGGCTGACAAGCTGGGCGGCAAGGCAAGTCCGTAAGCCACCTCTCCTACAC